AAAAAAAAAGTTAACGTTCTACTCAGACTCAAAAATGTACATAGTTTTTAAAACTAGTCTCAAGAGTTAAGGTCAATTGAAGTAGCCTTTGCTTATGTATATAAGCATTTCCAAGGATTCCTTAAGTTCTCTAAACATTGCTATTACACAGATGGTTTGCAGAGCCATTGTGGCCTTCAGGGGATTTGCTTTTCCTTCTCTAGAGGAGGGTCCCTTTTGACTGAACAGTGGCTGGAGGTTCACATTTGCACAGAAAACTCCCTGCGGCTCCCAGGAGCCAGTGCAGAGAAAGGTGGGTGCGGAGCCTGCCACTTCTGTGAAGTATTGCACACCTAGAGGCTTGCACGGCTGCCTGTCTGCACAATGAGCAGGGGACACCTCAGAGCATCACAATAGATAATCTCTGCTAGGATCAAAGGTGCTACCCATCCTTCCCTGTCTGCTGAGCGTAGCTGGAATCACGAATTTCTTTTGGCCAGCATGGGCATTACTAATTTCCTGAAGCTTCCTAGTGGAGTCCTTTACGTAGGTTACAGCCATTAGTTTTGTTCATGTCGCCTATGTGTGTCTTTAACTGTGTGCTGAGTGTGTGTGGATGGGCCTGTCAGCCCTCACCACGTGCTGTTCTAAGAATGCTGGTTTATCTTTTAGTGTGAAGTGGGGGGTATTGGTATCAGTCATTAGAATAGGTATTTTCCCCCCAACTACCTGAATGTTCTTGATTTGAATAGAATTATTTCCATTCTGTGACCATTTTTAGGTAGTAATTCAAGATGCTGCTTTAGTTTTTCACTATAATTTTTTGCATCTTGTTTTGCTGTTTAACTGAGTCTCGTTTTGCTTAATCTATTTTATTAGATAAACTTTTGTTCTCTTGCCATGATAAGTACTTGCTTTCCTCAGTGACACATTCATATAAAATATTTCTTAATTATATATAAAAATACAGTTGTCTTCTGATTTTTCAAAAATTACAGTGCTTGGGATAATAGTATAACTCTGTATGTATAATTTGGATCATAATAAACAACCTTAATCTATTTTGTCTTCTAGAATTCAAGAATTACTCATGTTTTTAGTGTGAAATTTCTAAGAATAGTTACTTCCAGAAATTTTCCTGACTAAACTAATTCTTAAATCCCTGTAATTTTTTTTCCTTCTTTTTTGGGGAGATGGGGTCTTTATTAGGCTAGAGTGTGGTGGTGCCATAGCTGACTGTGACCTCAAACTACTGGGCTCAAGCAGTCTCATGCTCCCACATAGCTGGGCTGTATGCCTGGACCACCGCGTCCAGCTAGTTTTTCTATTTTTAGTGGAAATGGGGTGTTGCTCTTGGTCAGGCTGGTTTTGAACTTATGGCCTCAGGTAATCCTCCTGCCTCAGTTTCTCAAACTGGTGGGTTTTGTACAGGACCACCCTAAATTTCATTTAACATTTTTTTTATGTGTTAGAATCGTGAGTCTGAAGGTTATCTACTCTTCCCCACAAAGGGTAGTGTCTCTGCTTTAATGAAAGTAGCTTAAATTGGAGTGATTTCCCTTTGAAAACTATGTTGATATAAAAGATAAATGAATAATAATGTGGCCTATTGTATTGAATATTAAACTGTCTTCTGGAAGCAATTTAAGGCAACAAGAATTCATACTTTAGGACTGGGCACAGTGGCCCACACCTGTAATCCCAGCACTTGGGAGACTGAAGCGGGTGGATTGCCTAAGCTCATCGGTTGAGACCAACCTAAGCCAGAGCAAGACCTCGCCTCTAAAAATAGCTGGGTATTGTGGCAGGTACCTGTAGTCCCAGCTACTTGGGAGGCTGTAGCAAGAGAATTGCTCGAGCCCAAGAGTTTGGCGTTGGTGAGGCACGACACCACAGCACTCTACAGAGGGCAACAAAGTAAGACTGTCTTCAAAAAAAAAAAGAATTCATACTTTAACTTTCATCTTTGGCAAAGAGATTATTAAACTTTGATAAAGTCATTTGTGTCAGTATGAAAATGCTGTTTGGTCAGAATACAGACATGAGCATGAACTCTGAAGGAGGAAGTAAGATCCATAGTTAATTGAGCAGTTGGTTTTAGGGTTAGTGTTTTGGGGTGGACTAATTGAGCAGTTGGTTTTAGGGTTAGTGTTTTAGGGTAACAGTCCACCTCATATGGGATTTTGTTTATTGGAGATGGAGCTCTTTTAAGAAATCATCAGTGTATTGTTTATCAACTCTTGGCTGAAGGTGGAGTGATGCGTGGATTGAAGCCCCAGCTGCACTGCTGTGTAAGGGTCAGGTGGTCAGCACTGGTGCTCAGTCTTCAGAATGTAATTATTTGCATGTGTATTTGTTGAAAGCTGTTGTCAAAATTGTCAGTGATCCTATTAGAAAATAATGCCACTTCCTTCCATGAGAGAAAACTTCATCTTGTTAATGTGGTAGGACCTCTACGTTGACCACCTGAGGGACTGTACAGACTGGTCAGTATATGGAGGTGGTTGCCATAAGGACCTAGGCCCACTGTACTGCTGCTGTACACATGCGTGTCCAGTCTGACAGTTAGGGCGACGTAGGGAGGTGTCAGCTGTGGAGGTCCACTGTGTGTGTTTTGGTTGGAGATCCAGAGTGGTGGTGGTGGTGCACTGTAAGTTGAAAAAAACTGAACAACCTTCAGTTTCATAATTAGGAAAACAGTTGCCACAAGAAGTAGGGTGTGTTAATACCAGATCTTCACATCCCCGTTAATCAAACAGGTATTTCATTGCTCTCAGAATCTCATTCAAAATGTGTAGGTATTTGATGTAAAAACCCTTCATAGGAAGAATACCTACAACGTTGTGACTTAGTTTAAAATTAGCAATGAAAACTTCTCAGCACACTTTCCCCAGATTGAATTTGATGTGCACAAAGGACCTTCACTTCTGTCCACGTTGAGTGGGTGTAAGGAGGAAGATGTGGCCAGCAAGTTTGGTAGGTGGTAGATGTTAGCAAACTCCTTGGAACTTGAGATTCAGAGAATAGAATGCCTGCCAGGAGTAAAACTTTATTTAGTTCCTTCTAGTTTGGTTAGTTGTGTACAGTATATTTGGTTTTTTATAAATTTGGCCAGGATTTCAGAACATGCATAATTGTGTTCAGATATCAAGTGTTTTGTCTTGATCACTAAAGTTTAGTGTCACATCTTAGAAATGGGATCTGAATTACTCTTGGAGACTAAACAGCTTCCACTGTTGTCCTCAAACACCTCATTTGTTGAGGCGGATGCCGTGGAGGAGACGCCGGGACTTGACACAGCAACTCCCCTTTGTTCTGAACAAACCCAGGTCCCCAGTCTCCCGAAGCACTGACTGCTGCGGACACTTGGCTGCGTCCTCCTGTGTCCTCGCCACCCTTGGCCAAGTCCAGCTGAAGGTCACCTTATAACAAAAGAGCCTTCATTTTGATAAGTGCTGTTTTGATCTTAACGGGATCTTTAAGAAAAAAAAAAATGTTTGAGTGAAGTGTGCTCTGTAGCAGAACAAGCATTCTGATCAGGAAGGCTGAAGGGACCATGAAGGTTTTCTCTCCTTGCCCATCTGGTGGGGAGAGGCTTCCCCAGTGGTCTGCTGCCTCAGGGAAAGGGTTGCAGAGGCCTGAGGTGTTTCTGGGGACCTGGCCACATTCAGGTTCTGAGTCAGCACCTGAGGTCCTCCCTTATGGCAATAGAAGGCTGATTACCAATCTACCGTAGTCCTAATCTTCACTGAAATTTATGGAGTAAAACTATTTGGCAGTATTTGCACTTGTAAGGTCTTAGGATATGATCAGTATGGGACAAGTCAGAGCACTTAATGTCCACATCTTAAAATGTGTGTGTGACTACAGTGCTTTTTCCAGCTAGTCACAGACCATCAGCCTTTACCACAAGCCCTAGGTGTGTCTGGCGGGGGTCTAAACGTGTATGTCAGCAAGGAGTGCACAGCAGGACAGCCTGTATCAGACTGCTGGGTCCACACTGGTTGGGTTCACCTCTGAGAGGGTAGAAGACCTTCCCTGGCTTTCCAAACGGGACAGGACCTTCCTAAGTTTCAGACTGCTTGATCATAAATAGTTCTTGTAATTATAGTCTTGGTGGAGAATTGGCTTGAGGAATTTTGACCAACCCTCACGCTTTAGATGTAAGTACAAGTGCAGACTGCTGACTCCTGAGTGGCCGTCCCCAAAGGGAGCCTCTCCTGTGTCCCTAGCACTGTAGTTAGTTCTCCGCACCAGGCAGTGGCTGTGCACCTGTGCAGGGAGGCTGGGAGGCTTTGGGCCCATCCTGGATAGTTTTCGTTCCTAAATAGAGAGTCCTAAGCCTGTCTTCTCCACAGATGCCCGCTTGGCAGTCAGGCAAGGGCACTGTACAAAGTGGTCATGTTGAGTAACATTTTTGGAAACGCTGCCTTAACTTTAACACTGAAAGTCAAATGGAAGTGCTTCCTTCCCCCAAATTAGGTAGAGTAGAAATTGGTAACTCTGGAGGAAGATAGTGTATTTTTCTGAAGTGTCTATATGCACGGTACCTTCATGCATGTAAGTGTGGTATGTGAAGTTTGGGGATTCCTTGGCAGTGATGGTGGGGGGGGGGAGGTGCAAGCGGAGTCAAGTCCAAATCCACTGTTGTTGAAATTTTGAGAAAACAGTTAAAACATTTGGGCTTGTAAGCTACAACTTTAAAACGTGAATAATTGGAGCTGTAGTTCCGTCCCCCACCCCCAGCGGGTTGAGAACTCCTTCCGGCCTCTGGGAAGAAAGCTCCGTGTCCAGGGTCACCTGAAAGGCTCTGGAAAAAGGGACAGGATGCGAGGACGCTGTGTTAGCACAGGTCCCACGGCAAAGAGTGTCCTGATTGCTAAAAATACAGAAGCCTCTTGTTTTTATCCACATTAACAAAAGATCTATCTACTACGTGGGCGATTTCACAGAAGTCACAGGGCGGGTAGTTTGCTGTGCATTAACTTGGCCCGTGATACGGGCCTGACTTCCCTTTGGGGCAGGTGTGTGGTATCCCGGCTCCCCCTAGTGGCCTCAGCCCTGGCTGCCTTTGGGCGCCAGCACGTCCCCACTCCGCCTGAGGTTACTGAGGTTCTCCGGGCTTCCTTGCAGGCTATGCTGCTTACCCTTAATAGTTTGTTTCCTTTCTGTGTCACTGTTTCTGGCTGGCCAGCAGGCTTCTCTAGTTACTGTTGTAAGCACTGGAGCTTAGTGAGAAGAGCTCTGCTTTCTTAAGCTTACCTTTTCTACTCTTTACCTGTGGGCATTCTTGTAACCTTTTCAGAGGTGTGAAATTGCAAATACAACTTCTAGTGTCCACTTGACCCAGGGCATATTAGCTTATGAATTCCAAAGTTAAGCCTGTGGATACTAAGAGCTGTCTGTCTGCACTTGAGAGTACTGAAGGAGTGAGCCAGTGGAATGCTGTGAAATCCCTTGTCACCAGGCACCCTGGGGGGCCCTGCTCCACCCCCACCCCTGTGGGTGTGTTTCCTAAGGTGCAGCTCACCTCTGATTCCCGGGAAGTGTTAGCTTGCTCCTTCAGATAGAGCCCTGCCCATCACTGTCATAGGGCCTGTGCAGGGTTAAGAAAAGCTTCAAATGGAAGCCCCAGTTGAAGGCCTCTGATTAGCTTGCTCCTTCAGATAGAGCCCTGCGCATCACTGTCATAGGGCCTGTGCAGGGTTAAGAAAAGCTTCAAATGGAAGCCCCAGTTGAAGGCCTCTGATTACGCCTGCCTTTGAAGAATGCTTTTGGCTGCATACCTGTACAGACATAATTTTCTCTCTCCCACATACTAATCACTCAGAAATTGGGTTTCTCATTCTGTATACTAGCATCATGGGGAATAATCTGCAGCTGATACACACGGTGTAATTGGAAATGACTTGCATGCCTCTAAAATTAGAACTAATTAAAGCTACAAAGTTCAGATCTTCCTATTTTTAAATGTTTATTTGAAAGAAGTTTAGCTCTGAAACTTACATGTATTCTGTGGCCCAGAAATGTGCACGGAGCTTGTTTACAGGGATGTTAATTAGGAGGTTCCTGACAGGGAAAGAGAGTGAGGCAACCTGGATAGCTGCAGAGAGTTGGTTGGGTGGATTGTGATGCAGCCAGACGGCAGGTGAAGGATTGTGTTTAAATTAGTTGATAATGGAATTCTTGCCATGGTCAATGAATAAAGCAAGTTGTAACAGTGATTTGTTAGAACCTTTTTGATAAAAACCCACTAAGATTAGACACTATCAAGCAGGAAGGGCTGCTTCTGGGAAGGGATAGGTTTGTGCACTGTGTGCGGAACTTGGGGGGAGTGACCAGGTGTGAGCACTGGCACCCCAGACACGGCTGGGGACCTTGTACATAGTGACCAGGTGTGAACACTGGCACCTCCAGACACACAGCTGGGGATCTTGTACGTGGTGAGTGACCAGGTGTGAACACTGGCACCCCCAGACACACGGCTGGGGACCTTGTACATGGTGAGTGACCAGGTGTGAACACTGGCACCCCCAGACACACGGCTGGGGACCTTGTACATGGTGAGTGACCAGGTGTGAGCACTGGCACCCCAGACACAGCTGGTGACCTTGGATGTGGCCTGTGTTGCTTCGGGTCCAAATGTCCTGGAACTAAGACTTAATGTAATGTTTTCAGTTTTATGGTATTTTGGTGCTTAGATCACATGCCTCTTTGGGATAGTATGTTCACAGACCAGTCTTAAGTTTCAGCCTTTGTTATTTTTTGTTAATGAAATCCATGAATTTTAAAAAGAATATCGAGGATTGTTTTATGGTTTTGTGTTAAAATTATGAAAGGAATTATTTCTTTGGAAAACACTTGCTGAATGTGAGAAAGTGTAGAATTGTCTCTAAGTTATATAACCACTTTATATTTTCCAAATAACATCCTGAAAATTAGAATATTTGCCATCAAGTAAACCTGTAATAGGTTTCTGAAATTCCATAACTTTTAACTGAAATTGCACATTTCAAGGAATAATTTTTAAAGTGGAAAAGTTTCTCAGTACTATGCTAAACTTACTAGTTACCTGTAGAGATTTTAATTATTTACATAGTTTAAAGAATTTAGTGATCAAAAAAAAATGAAAAAAAAATTTTTTTAAGCTTTCTGGTTATGTACAGAGAATCTGAAGTCATCTTTGTTTTCTGTGCAGCTCAGAGCTTGGATTACGCCGTACCACTCGTGAACGGCGAGACGGAAGATGAGGCTGACAAAATGCACATTGATAGAGAGTTTGCCGTTGTAACAGGTGGGAGTGGACAGTTTCCTGTTAGCTGCAACAACAGTCCGGTGGTCGAAGACACCAAACAGCAGGAGAGTGGTTCTGTTGGACCAAAAGAAATAGAAATCTATACTGTTTCGGCAATGCAGACCCCTTGTCGTTGCAAGAATCAGTATGCATATTATTTCTAACAGTGTTTTTCTTAAACCTTCTTGCACTTTGTTGTCCAGTGTCTACAAAATGTTATAATTTGCATATCTTGAGCATATTTGTAGATAAAGGATAAGTGTTCTGGGTGCGTTCTGTGGATATGAAGATTCTAAGTGCAATCTTCCTGTTCTCATTTGAAGCTCTTGCTCACTGTGCCTTGCTTATTTTTGATGAGATTTGCATTTTTGACTTTCTGACATGTGAACTTGGGGTGAACATTCTGAACCATGCTATGGCTAGTGTTTTTTTTTTCAAGGCAGCGTAACACAAGGATGACTCCTGACGGCAAAGCTTGAGAACGAGTGGGTGTGGGTTGACAGTACAGTGTCTTCTATCCAACACTCGTGGTTGCTCTGGTTTCTGTGACCTTCACTCTTAAGTTTGTCAAAATGCTGAACACTCGTGTTTTACAGAACACATTTTAAACATTAACATTTTTACTATACTAAAACAATCCTGTTTCTAAGTTGTAAAAGGCAGCAGCTCAGTTCTTATAGCATTTAGAATATCTAAAAAAGATTTGTGCATTTAGCTAGTGCTTTTTCCTACTGTTTTTTATTTAGGTGATAACAAAACGTTCTAGCCATTCTCTCAACGTGATGGTACATGTAGACATCGGTACTTACTTAAGTTTTTTTTATTATGTCTTTCTGTGCTAAATTCTTCACTGGAGTTAGATTATGAGTTGTTTACCACACCTATAAAAAAGTCATTTCTGTTTATATTTCTATGCCTCTTTGTTAGGGGTAGTATGAACTTTTTGCCAAATAACTAAATGACACTAGTAGATTTTCCGAAAGAAATTCTGATTGGATAGAACATTTAAAATAAAAGGTTTTCTGTGGTTAGGAGCCATTTGACCTAAAGATGCATAACAGAACTCTAAAGTCTGCTTTTTTTAAAAAATGGCGTTGCTGCATGCTTTGGAACAGGCAGAAGTAACCCCGCTTTATTTTTTAAATATTCTGTGTCAGACTTCATCCAAGCTTGGACATCATAGTGGAAAAGCTGTGGTTTACTCCCAGCCCAGCCCACACAGCGATGCTGCCCGCACACTCCCCACACTCTCCGTCACTTGACTCCCGGCACTCGGGCTGTGCAGACAGCTGTGTTGAGTCGGGAGGGATCACTGCATCTCCTCAGTGAAATAGCAGTCCACAGCCACTAAGCGTCTGCGGGAGCTGCCTCTTCTCTTTGAGAAGTAGCACGAAGTGAGGGTGTTCCAATTTGATTTTTGTTTTGGTGAGATTATTTTTCAAGGGTTATACGTTTTTGAAAAACTGCACAAATAACACCCCCTTTTCGCCACAGTTCAGCAGGGATGTCTTTGCATTTTAAATGCTCCTAGTTTGAGACTTAAGGTAGGGTTGAGAGTCTCTTTCTTCCAGAACGGTCTCATATATGGGGCTACTTTCTTAGAAACCCAGATCTTCCTATCAGAGGGGCTGCAAGTGAAGCAGGATATTGGCAGAAACTTCGTCCCAGGCCAATCTTGGCTGCCCATGCTGTGTCCTTTGGGGGTTGGCGAAATGGTCGGCTAGCTGGGCAAACGTGGAGAAGGAAGCACCAGTCTTAACAGGCAGCTCAGAGCAGGGCGAGTGCCACTGAGAACCGAGGGTGCTGCGGGCAGCCAGCAGGGGCCTGGGCGAGTCTCTGGAATGTCTGCTGTTCTTTTGCTGGTTTTTTTAGGTGTTTTATAATGATACGAAGTGATCAACCTTGATTTTGAGATTAATAGAACTAATTCACTTCTAGGCATTGAAAAATTTTACTTTATTTCAGTAAATTACACAGTGAACCTTAGTAACTGTCAAGGTTGCCGTCATGTGGGTTTTATCACTTAGGAAGGCAGTTTGCACTTTATTTTTGAAAAAAATCAGTTTAAAATTTCCGTAGGGAATAACTTGTTTCATTTGTTTTTATATTTAGTCCTTAGAACACTTGTTCTCTAGTCTTAAGTTTTAACTAAATAGAAAAAACTATCATTCGATTTGAAAAAATATCCATTATCTTTTAAAGAATTAATTTATGATTGTTGCTTGAATCACCAAAAAATTGATTAGTGGAATGTGTAGCAGATTCTTGTTCATTGAACAAGCTGTGGTCTTTTGTTGGCAGAAGACATCAGAGCACAAGAGCAGTTGCTCTGGGGTGTGTAGATGAGGAGCGAGAGGGGCACCCTGGGAAGAGCCAGGCGGGGTCACACAGTGCGTGACGTGGTGGGGTAATCAGATGTGTTTAAACTGTGTCCTGATTCTAAAGGTTATCAGAACTGAGCTCTTCTGTATTGAATATCGTGCCTTGCTTTGATAGTGTAGAATATTGAGAGAAAATACCATTACTGAGCAAGGGATAACTTTACACCATTCTCATTATGGTTCTGTGAGTGCTGTGAACATGGATGTTACTGCTTCTCAAGTTCCAGTGTACAGAACAATAACCTGGAATTGTCCCAGTGTGACCAGACATTCTGTGGTGGGATTTTTTTCTGTCAGACATCACCCTTCTAATGGATGCTGTACATGCAGATTAAACTATCAGCATTTTTTCTGGGTGTGGTGGCTCATACCTATAATCCTAGCACTTGGGAAGCTGAAGCAGGAGGATCGCTTGAGGCCAGGAGTTTGAGTCCAGCATGAGTAACATAGCAAGGCCCCATCTGCGCAAAAATAGAAAAACTAGCCCATGTTGGCTAGCAGCTGTGGTCCCAGCTACTCAGGAGGCAAAGGCAGGAGGATCACTTTGAGCCCAGAAGTTTGACGTTGCAGTGAGCTGTGATGACACCACTGCACTCTAGCCTGGGCAGTGGAGTAAGACCTTGTCTCAAAAAAAAAAAAAGAAAACTCAAAAACTAAATAGACTATCAGTATTTTTGCTAGAACAACCTAATAAAATGAAACTGTGGCTATCACAGTTTAATTTTGAACTCAGAAGAAACTATTCAAAACTATTGGTCCAAGACCACGTGCGTTGGAATCATTAATGGTCCTGTCCTTGCTGTAGTTGCTGGCTTCTCCAGACTTGCAGGAGTACTGCTTAGATCTGAGTGGTACTCAGAAAAAAATTGTCCTTTTAGTACTCCTATACCTGCTTCCCTGACTTCAAGAAGGTTTTTAAAAAACATTCTGTGACGCTGTCCTGCGTAGTTTGAAGTGGTTCCCTAACTCACCTGCTTCATTCCTCTCTCTCTGTGCTTTGTGTTAACCTTTTGTAGAAAATCCTTCTCTCTGGTTCTGATGGACTTTCTCTCGTGATTGATATTTGAAACAGCTGTCTGAACATAATCTTAAAACAAGAACAGTTTCTGATGCATTTAGTCCTGTGCTGGTATTTTTCATGCAGTGTGTTGGCTTAAATTTTTTAGTTCAGCTACTTGGTGCCCTGAAGTGCACACTTAGCTATCTTACTAGGAAAATACCATGGTTTTATTTTTAAGTCTGCCTGTGCACATTGTTTTTATTTTGGGAAAGGAACTGGTTTGTTTGAAAGGAAAAAGCAAAAGAAACTAAATTTTTTTAAATTGTAGCAACAGTGAAACATTTTATAGTTAACTGCTCTCTCACTGGTTCTGAATTTTGGTGACAGGTGTATTTCTTAATGCAGATATGAAAAACAATAGCTCCATGTCCAGTACATTGACAAATGGATGTGTCATCAGTGGACACGTGGACTTCACCACCACCCAGCTCAATGGGATGGAAAGCGGGACTGGCCAGCGCTTAGCAGGATCTGCTGGTGTTAACAGTGGGTCAGTTCTGGGACAGCAGTTCCCCCATAGCCAGGGTCCTCTCAGTGTTAATGGGACTGAGGAGCCGGAAAACACCACGAGCGTGAACCCTGAGATGTGCGGCTCCCTGCACCTCAATGGGAGCCCCAGCAGCTGCGTGGCCAGCAGGCCTTGCTGGGTGGAAGACATGGGGGACAACCTGCACTACGGACACTACCACGGGTTTGGGGACACTGCGGAAAGCATCCCTGAGCTGAGCAGCGTGGTCGAGCACTCCAACTCCGTGAAAGTGGAGGAACGGTATGCCTGCGCCGTGCTGGGCACCATGCACCTGTCCCACGGCTCCTAGGGGCAGCGCTGCCCCAGAGAGGCAGGCGTCCTTCCTGCTGGGCCAGCTCAGAACACTCGTGTAGCATCGACTTGAAGTAATGTCACAATTTGTACTGTTTTTATACTTTCTGAAAAAAGTAAACTTCTTGGACAAGTTCCTGGTGAGTGCTTGTTTGTGCATGAGTAGGGCTTCTAGTCTAGGTGTTTCTAAGTGGTGTATTGGTCCTTTTGTAAAACACACTTTTGAGATTAATTTTTCTGATGTCAATCTCAATATTTTGTTTTTAATTCTGTCACCAGATACTGCCATTTTCCCTTTTGTGCAATTAAATCCCACTGTCAAGATAATCTGGGACAGTAAAGGAGGTGCCTGGTCCCTGCCCTCTGTCTGCACGGGGGTTCCTCCCAAGCCTGCGTCACTCGGCCCCTGAATCCTGTGACAGCACAGCAGCTGCCTGTGCCGGGCACCCAGACTTCTTGCAGTGATTTGTATGAAGAGACGAATGATTATCTTTTTCCAGTGTCTGTGAAGCTTGGCACATTGCTGTGTGTAGACACACGGAGGCCCCTGGAGTGAGGCGGCCTGTCCTGGGCTGCAGCCCGGCTGTGTTGTGTTGACTGTTTTTATCCCGCACCTCCCACCCGGGCTCTGCAGCTTTCACCACAGAGCGCAGGTTCCTTTGTGCTAGAGGAAGTTACTATTAATATTTGTAGGACTGTCGGGTCAAAGTATTTAACTCTTTTGACTTATATTTTCTTTTTTCTTTGTTTTGGGTTTTAGGTTTTGGGAGTTTTCTGCTTTAAATATATACTACTATGTATATCCAATTAACTGAGAATTTGGGCTTTCTCTTAATAAAACTGCAATTAATTTCATGATTTTATAGAAAATAGCTTTTGTTTAGGCAACTAGTGTTTGCACTGTGCAAATATGTAATGAATTTTCACTTTTCTGATTTTTGTAATAAAAATTGGTGAAATAGAGAGGAAAGGTCTAATGAACAGTGTTCTAAGCGTGTTACTAACATTTGGCTTTACAACTGTCCATTACAAATTTAATAAAAACTCAGTTTGTTCCTGGGTGTAGTTTCTTTCCATGGTGGGCAGTTGGGAGAGGGGTGCTAGAAGGTTAGTATTGTTTCATTTTGCCTGTGATTTTACTTAATTCGGATTCTCTTTGTATAGTATTTTTGGCACTTTGGATTCATTAATATACTTGAGTTTCCTGGCACTTTGTCTTACCGAAACTCCACGGAGAAGTATAAACTGCGTGCCTCCCATCTCAGTATCCTCCCTGGGCTCTCATTTCCATAGCAGACAACCATAATGTTCTCAGCTTCCTTGGCATTAGCAAATATTCTTGAATATCTCTTAAGGGTATAAATTGTAGATAGCTAATGGCAACAAAATAGCCATCTGGCATGCCTGCCTGTATCATTTAAAACATTCATGCCTTTATGTACATTCTTGTAAAACTTAGTAGAATTGGGGGCATTAGCTTTCCAAGTTTTGCAGAAATGATGCTGAGAGCAGGGAGTGGGCACATGGGCGTGGGCTGCCTGCCACCTCTGTACGTGGCAGGCAGCGGGGCTCGAGGTCAGAACTTAGACGTGGTCTCAAAACCCATTTTAACAGACTGATTCAAGAAGCCACCCATGCTGGTCTGAGTTGAGATGAATGAAACCCAGTGCCATCTCCTGCGTGGACTGTTTCTTAAGGAATTGTGTTTCAGAGACCTGATAGTTAATAATTTGCTGAAGAACATTCAGGGATCTCTAATAGGGATTTGAAATTCCACAACCTGTCACTGGAACTGCACATTCAAGGAATAGTATTTACTGTGGAACAGGAACGAGTACTCAGCAGAGTCCTAAACGAAGCATCAGTGATGCTGGCCTCTGGGCGCTCAGGGGCCCAGTGACTGCGTGGGAATGAGGGGGAGGGGCCTCTGCTGGTCTGAGGGGGAAGTGCACCAGGCTGGAGAGAGTGAGTC